GCCTGATGAGGTTCGTCTGCCAGACGAGGTTTGTCTGCCTGACGAGGTTCGTCTGCCAGATGAGGTTTGTCCACCTGACGAGGTTCGTCCGCCTGATGATGTTCGTTCACTTCGCTATATCTTTGGCGAGCTTAACTGCGGCTTCGTCTTCGGCGAACTTCATCTTCAATGACGAACTTCGTTTCTAGGAGAACTTCGTCTTTTGATGAGTAAGGTGTTGTTTGTCCTATTGAACTGAGACAAACTTTATGAATTGAGGCTGAGGTTCGTCGTTGTGGCGACCCTCGTGTGCTTGTAGTGAGGTTCAACTCTCCTTTGTTTCTTGGCATTTTTTAGTGTCTACAGCCACCACCTACCTATACTTGGTTGGAAGTGACCTATTTATCCCCATCATGGCGATATATACAGGTAGACTCCTAACCTCAAAGGAGGCTGAGCCTCTCTGTCTCTCTCTCTCTCTCTCTCTCTCTCTCTCTCTCTCTCTCTCTCTAAAAAAGAGAAAGAACACACACAACTCTTCATATACACAGAGGAGCTCATACAGACCCTCTGTAACGGCACCTTGCCACCTTCGGAGTCACCTCGGTTCCTGACCTTCCCCTTCCCCACTCAAGTCTCACTAACTTGATTGTCGGAGGAACCACGGATGAACCGGTCCCCGCCCTCTCACGGGTTCTTCGTGTCTGTGCAGCATGGACATCAGCCCCAATTCAAGAACCAGACATAAAGTTAGAGAAGAAGGCGGCCCATTCATCAATCTCCTCTACCTCTTCCTGGCGAGGACTCAAGGCGAACCGATCCCGCCCCGAATCCGCACCTATCCTCTTCTGGATACGATTGACTGTTTAATCTTAGTCATCAACAATAATTAAAGCAGTATTGACTTTTTAAGTTCTAATAAAAAAGAGAGATCAGAAATACTTGTGAACTGAAGAGAAGCGATGTTCTTCGAAAGGTCGTAGTTCCACTTTTTCCCCAATTGACTCTTTATCAATCTGTAGGATAATTTGAGAGAGGTAAACTGATAGCTACATATATAGGTAGAATAATTAGTGAGATAATTATGACAAATTATCCTAATTCTAAGTAATAAATAGGGGCAATACAATAATTAAATTCCCGTGTACTATGCACATGGGAATATTCATAGGAATCTTCTGTTATGTATTTAATAGAAGGTAGCAATGTGCTAAACAGTTACTATACAATATATTATTATAATATTATTATTATATTGCTATTTTATTTTTAAATATGTTACTATTATATAATATTTTATAATTATTAATTTATTACGATTTATTTATTAAAAAGTTAATAATTTTATAGAGATTATACTATTATGTAGTATATTATTATATTATTATTTATTATCAATAAATTTTTTATTATTTTTATTAGTTTATTTATATTTTATTATTATTTATTATTATATAATACATTGTTAACATATTAAATACTAATATTTAATATGTTATGATATTATTATATAAGATATGTTATTTATTATATTTTTATATTATTTAATAAATATTACTAATATATTAGATTAATTATAATATAGTATAGTACAATATAGTATAGTATAATATATCATAATAAGCATGTTGATAATAAGAACAATTTTTTGAAACAGACCCATTTTAATTTTTTTTAAACCGACCATTTTTTTTATTTAACAAAACCGACCCGATTTTGTGATTAGCAGTCTAATTAACTTCCTAAACAATCGGGGTTGGAAACCCCGACTATTTAGGACATTAATTTTTAGGGTTTAAGGCTTCTAATTAGGGTTTAACACCCTCCTAAATAGTCGGGGTTGGCAACCCCGACTGTTTAGGAAGGTAATTAAACTGCTAATCATAAAATCGGGTCGGTTTTGCTAAATAAAAAAAAGGGTCGGTTTTAATTTTTTTTTTGAAATGGGTCTGTTTCAAAAAATTGTTCTGATAATAACTCTATGTTAATTACATTTAATATATTGTGTTAGATGTTATATAACAATTTCTCAAACTCAAAACCAAAACACCAAACTTAAAAATAATTTTTTGGTGTTTTGAAATAACTGTTGTGTTTTTTATTTGAAAATGATTTAGCTTAAAAAACAAAATTGTTTCCAAACGCATAATGTTTTATTTTTGACAAAAACATCATAGAAACAAGTAAAACACCATTGTCTCCAAACAGAGCTTTCGTTGTCGGCTAATCAATTTTAGGAAACAAAAAACGCCATAATAGTCTTCTATAGATAAAAGATGGGGCTCACCATCTTTACCTATTTAAACGCTGTTCAACAATGGCTCGTGCCTAAAATGAGAATTACTAATTAGATTATATTTTTATAAATATTTGTAAAGAAAGTATTTTCATAAATTATGATAATGTGATGAACTAAAGAGTATTATCCATCTCGTTAGTCTATGACATGTACAGTGGGCATACATTTTTAATAGGATTGAAGAGACTATTGGTTTTAGCGTAATCATTTATCTTTAATCAAATCGACGTGTATAATGAAAAACACTAGAGGCACACCTTTAGGCACACTCTCAGCCACACCCCCTCACCTGCTACAGTGCAGGGGGCATCACATAGGATTTTTTTAAAAATCCCATGTGGGGCCCCCTATACTGTAGCAGGTGAGGGGGTATGGCTGAGAGTGTGCTCGAGGGTGTGCCTCTAGTGCCTCTCTTTATAATTCATCGATTGAATAAAGAAATAAGAGCAAAACGAATAAGTTGGTAGCGTCAATCCAAGGAATAGAAACTTTTTGTTTAGAGCCAGGTGAAAAAAACATTAAAAAAGATAAAAGAAAAAAAAGAGGAGAAAAATAAATAGTTTAGGGTAAATATTACACTAACCCCCCATGAATCTCAGTGTTTTGAAGATAACCCCTCGTGAATTTTCAAAATGCCTTTTTATGCTGTTTTTTTAAATGGGGTCATCCACATAAACTCAGAAAGGTTATGAAATTTTCCGCAATTCCAAAAGGTTATTGAGGATTTAGCGTGACTTTGAAAGTTCATCTGGTTTACAACAAGACGCTAAGTTCCCGGGTGTTTAGTGTAATTTAGCCATTAGTTTATTCCTTCATAATTATTTTGTTTATAATAATATAAATTTATGCGGTCCATCGGTAACGGAGTTTATATGCTGATTCCACGTGGATAGCCACACAATACAATGGGCGGTGGAGCCCACTTTCACCTTGTCCAATGATAATAAGCCAAACCCACCATATTTTACTTTATTAATATATATAGATATGATGATGCGATTTATCCTCTATTTTTGAGAATAAAGAGTAATAGCTTAGAGACTGAGAGGAGAGAGAGAGAGGGGGAGATCTTTAGAGAGAGAGAGAGTTAGGGTTAGGGTTTACCATCGTTCGAGCCGCCATCTCCCGTCACTGGTAAAAAGTTTGTTCCTTTGGTCTATTTATGCTCAAATTTTAATTTAGTTGATATTTTTATTTATGTGTTGCATAGTGTTGCGTGTCTTCAAGTATTGAGGACTTGAAAACTAAAAAAAAAAAAAATCTGAGTTGTTTTAACTTTATTTGTTACTTAAAAATGAGTAGATATAGATTAGTTTGTAGTTTCTTGGTTGTAAATTACTATATGTCTTTGCTTATTTTAACTTGTTTGATGATGGATTTGGAATTAAATCCTTCTCTCTGAAGCTATGAAGTAGGGATCACTTACTAAATTGCAACAATTTGTAATTTATTAACGATTATGATATGTTTTCAGCGAAAACTGGGAATCTTAGTTATATAATGATGATCACAATCATCTGGCTTTTATTATTATTGGATTTTATTGGACAGTTATGATTGTAGAAGTTGGTCTGCAGAGATGGAGCGAAGTGTATACGAATTCTTTTGTGATGTAGCAATCTAACAATTGGTAAATCTTCTTTGATAGCGTGCAATAAAAGTTTAGTAAGAAATCAAGAATAATATGGAATGTATCATGTATGAAGGTAAAAAGCGAGGAATGGAGAGTGATGTGGTCGATATTTCATGAAATCTTCTCATGGATGTTCCTTGAGGACTTCCTTTACATAGTCAAAAGATCATTTCAAAACTTTTCGTATGAGAAATAGAATCTTTTTTTCCGCCAGATGATCTTAGTGCTTTGTGGGGACTAGAAAATGGTATTCTAGGTGATAAATCAAGTGCAAGATAAGCTGCTACAAGGGGCTTTTGCTGGTTTTCAGGGAGGTCGTTGTTTGTTGAAAAGCAAATTATATTGAATTATCATGTTAATTCAAGAGATTACACGTATATATATATACATCAACCAGCTAAAAAGGAAAGAAATAAATAAAGAAAGAAGGAAATCAATGGGCTGGCAATAATCCCAAATATATGGTCTGATTGATACATTAACACTCCCCTCAAACTCAAGATGGGATAGTGGAGACCAGCTTGAGTTTGTTAAGTAAATGAGTGAACGGACCAGGAAGATGAGCTTTAGTGAAGATATTTGCGGACTGATCTACTGAAGGAATAGAAAGAAGTTGTAAAGTGCCATGCTGAAGATGTTGCCGAACAAAATGACAATCATTCTCAATGTGTTTGGTGCGTTCGTGGAAAACATCATTATGAGCAATTTGAAAAAATGACAATCATTCTCAATGTGTTTGGTGCGTTCGTGGAAAACATCATTATGAGCAATTTGAATTGCACTTCGATTGTCACAATGGAGAATGGAAACATCATTATGAGCAATTTGAATTGCACTTCGATTGTCACAATGGAGAATGGTAGCAGAGGACTGTGTAACACCCAAATCCTCAAGTAACCAACGGAGCCAAAGTAATTCAGAAGTAGCATCGGCTAGGGCCCGATACTCAGATTCAGTACTTGATCGAGATGTGACAGTTTGCTTCTTACTTCTCCATGAAATGAGCGAGTCACCCAAGACGAAGCAGTAACCATTTGTTGAACGACGATCAGTAGGGTTACTAGCCCAATCAGCATCAGAATAGCCTAATAAGATTAAGGACGATTGAGTAGGAAAATGAAGTCCATGAAGAAGAGTGCCTTTGACATATCTTAGAATACGAAGAACAACAGTAAAATGAACAGTTCGAGGAGTAGCCATGAATTGACTAACAACATGCACAACATAGGTGATATCAGGACGAGTCACAGTAAGATAAACAAGACTACCAACAAGTTGTCGATATAAGGTAGGATCAGGAAGAGGTGTGCCATCAAATGGAGTTAACTTAACATTAGTATCCAAAGGTGTTGAGGCTGTATTTGAGTCAGACCAGATCTGGAAAGCAAATCAGAAGCATATTTGGCTTGAGACAAATAGTAACCATCAGAACAAGAAGAGACTTCAAGCCCGAGAAAGTAACTGAGTGGCCCCAAATTTTTCATCTCAAAATGTTGACTGAGGTAGTTTTGTAAGTCAGAAATGGCCACAAAATTATCACCTGTAATGATCATATCATCCACATAAAGTAACAACAGAACAATACCCTTATCAATACGACGGATAAATAAGGCCGAATCATGAGGACTAGAAGCAAAACCAAAGCGTGCAATAGTAGAACTGAATTTTGCAAACCATGCTCGCGGAGTTTGCTTAAGACCATATAAAGCTCGCCGAAGAAGACAAACCTGTTGTGGAGGATGAGAGTACCCAGGAGGAGGATGCATATAAACTTTCTCATTCAAATCGCCGTTGAGAAAAACATTTTTAACATCCATCTGGAGAAGGGGCTAATGTTTTACTGCAGCAACAGCTAAAAGGCTACGAACAAAGGTTAAACGAGCAACAGGAGCAAATGTTTCTTCATAATCAATACCATATTCCTGAGTATAGCCTTTAGCAACTAAACGAGCTCTATAACGCTCGACAGAACTATTAGAATGAGTTTTAATCTTGTAAACCCACTTACATCCGATAGGAGTTTTTCCTAAAGGAAGGTCCACTAAATCCCAATTACGTGTTTTCTCTAAGGTATGAAGTTCCTTAGACATTGCTTGCTGCCAGAGAGGATCAATACTAGCCTCATGGTAAGAATGTGGTTCTTGTAAATAAACAATAGCAGAAAAACAATGATAATCTTGAAGATGATGAGGAGTTTCTCTTATCCGATTGGAGCGACGGAGAGGAGGATTAGGATCATCAGTGGAGACAGATGTTGTAGATGTAGGTGCAGAGGTGGAAGTAGAGTTACCAAGCTCATCAGAAGATTCTGTATCAGAGGAAGGAAATAACTCAATGGAAGGGTCAGTGAAAAACGGTTGAGAGGCGAAAAAAGAATTATGAAATTTGGACAAAGTGGAGAACATGGTATGTTCCCAAAAAGTGACATAGCGAGAAATTCGTAACCGACTAGAAATAGGATCTTAACAATGATATCCTTTATGTTCTTTCCCATATCTAAGAGAACAACAAAGACGAGCCCGAGATTCAAGTTTAGTATGTTCATGGGGGTTAAGAAGAACAAAACAAGCACAAACAAAAACTTTGAGATTTGAATAATCAGGTGTTTTACCATATAATCATTCAAAAGGAGATAGATTTTGAAGGACTGGAGTAGGAAGACGGTTAATGGTGTAAACAGAGGTAAGTGCAGCCTCACCCTAAAACTTTTTAGGACAGGATGCTGAAAGAAGTTAAGCACGAACGGAGTCCAAAATATGACGATGTTTATATTCTGTACGACCATTTTGTTGGGAGGTATAAGGACATGATCTCTGAACAATAGTTCCCTGTTGTTTGAGAAACTGAAAAAGAATAGAATCTTGATATTCCATTGCATTATCAATACGAAAACTTTTGATAGGGCAAGAAAATTGAGTTGTAATCATGGTAGCAAAATCAATATAGATTTGAGATAATTCAGATCTATGCTTAGCAAGAAAATTGAGTTGTAATCATGGTAGCAAAATCAATATAGATTTGAGATAATTCAGATCTATGCTTAAGAAAATATATCCATGTAAATCTAGAATAGATAGATTTGAGATAATTCAGATCTATGCTTAAGAAAATATATCCATGTAAATCTAGAATAGTCATCAATAAATAAAATAAAGTATCTATAATCATTCACAGTAGGAGTAGGAGCAGGACCCCAAATATCAGAATGAATCAAACCAAAATGAGTATCACATTTAGAGTTATTATGACTAAAAGATAAGGCAGGCTGTTTTGCGAGTTTACAATGTAAACAATCAAAAGACTTGAATTTGGAAAGACCTAATGTTCCACTACAAAATAAAGAACGGAGTTTACTAGCGGATGCATGAGCAAGACGAAGATGCCACTGGTATATTAACGGAATGGTGGTGGAAGCAGAAATCGATCTAGGAATGGAAACTTGAAGAGATGTGAGCTCAAATAATTGTCCTACCTTGTGCCCTATGCCAATAATCTGCCCCGTCTGAGGATCATGAACCTGACAACCGTGGGGAGAGAAAAGAACAGTAAGACCAAGATCACACAATTGACCAACATAGGCTAAGTTTAGGGATAAATTAGGAACACAATAAGTATCAGGAAGCTTTAAATTAGAGGTAGCAACTGTTCCAATATGGGTAATAGACATACAATTACCATCAGTAGTTTGAATGAGAGGAAGAAATCTACTAGGAATTTTATTAGATAAGAGAGAAATTTGAGAAATCATATGATTACAACAAGCAGAGTCAAGGAGCCAAGAATCACCTGCAGTGACAGCTAATACAGTAGAAGATGAAGAATTGGAGGATATCACCTGTTTGAGAAGAGCTTCGAGATCGCTAACGATAAGAACAGAGGAAGAGAACTCATCAGAAGGAGTAGTAACAACAGCAACAGAAGAACTCGCCTTAGAGAAAAACTTATATTTTGTTGAAGTGCCTTGAGGATGAGGTGGACGGGTTGGACAATTTTCCAAAATATGACCATGCTTATGACAGTATCTGCACTCAATAGTTGGGCAATTTGCAAACATATGACCAGTGTTTTTACAATTCTTGCACAAGGACAAGCCAGATGCAGAGCGTGGCCTAGTGATAGCAAGAGCAACTTCTGATGAAGGGGATTTGATCAAACTAAGATGTGTTTCCTCAAATAAGATTTCTTTAACAACAACATCCAAAGAGGGTAATGGATCACGATGCAACAGAGCGGCACTGACAAATTCGTATTCAGGGCGTAGAGCCATGAGAACTTAGATGAGGCGAAGATGATCATTGCTAATATTAGCTTGAGCTAATTGGTTCCATATAGGTTGAAATACGACAAGAAAGTCATTAACAGATTGTCCAGAGTCTTGTTTAAGACTGGCAAGAGTTGTGAGCAGTTGATAATAGTGTGCAAGACCTGTAGCTTTGTATCGATTAGATAAGAAATCCCAAATTTCTTTTGCAGTATCAAAATCAGCAAACTGAATATGATCAAAATTAGCAAACTGAATATGAATGGCTGAAATAGGTGTTACATAACCAGGTAATTATCTGATGATTTTTGCTATTCCAATCTTCAAGACGTTCTGCATACTTGGTATCATTCTCATCAGCATCTCGAACTCATCTCGAACTGGTTCGACAATATCACCAGTAATAATACGCCAAAACTTGCGCCCAATTAAGAAGCTTTTCATTCGTTGAGACCATAGAGTATAATTAGAGCCATCCAAAAGAACACCAATAGGACGAGAGATTTCAGATTTCTCCATATCAACAAACCCAAAAGAACTAAACATAGACAGGAAGTAGAAATAACCAAATCCATAAAACAGGTTACTTTAAGTATGACAGCTTAGAAGAAACAAGAAGAACAATAAGGCAAAGCAAAATCCCCAGCAAAAAAAAATCCGGATAAGAAGGCGAAGATGGATCTGAAGGAACCGAAGGCGGTGAAGAAACCGTCGGAGAAGAACCCGACGACGGATCTGAAGGAGCCGAGTGCGGAGAAGAAGACGAAGAAGGCCCCGGTGGAGGCGCAGGCAGGCGAGGGCTTGATTATCGACCGTGGACGCCTTATCTGAAGGAGAAAGAAGCGATCTTTTACGGATCCAGGCTGCTGATGGAGTCCGCCTTGTCGAATTCGTCGGGGATCGAGGACCTGATGCCGATGTTTGTTGAAAAGCAAATTATATTGAATTATCATGTTAATACAAGAGATTACACGTATATATATATACATACATCAACCAACTAAAAAGGAAATAAATAAATAAAGAAATAAGGAAATCAATGGGCTGGCAATAAGCCCAAATATATGATCTGATTGATACATTAACAGTCGCCGTGCTGATTAGGGATCTTCATGACGAGGATCCAGCAAAAATGTAGACGGAATTATGATAGAGTGAACATTAACTGTGGCTTGAGTTAATACGTGTGGTTTAGAATTTCTTTTGTTTGGTCCGTGTTGAGGCAAATCTTTAGTTTCGTATGATGGTAGATGTTGTGGAATGATGTTAAAGTACACAGAGATATGTTCTTCAGCACCATAGTTTATGACTTTCAGACTCTAAATTGCCATTGTGTGATTATTGCAAATGGGATTATTGGAAATGGAGGAGCATTACCATTAACTCATCTAAATGGTTAACTAATTCTCGGAAGTAGCTATAACGCTCCAATATAATAATAATAATAATATTTTATATAGTTTCTTCAGAACCTTCTTTCTGGCATGATTTACAAACCATTGTTGCACATTTTTAAACTCTTTAATCACTGCAAAATCATCAGATTTGGATGCATGCTGAAATCATTGCTTTCTTTTTAGAATGAAGGAAATCATTATATTGACGGTAGGAGAACAAATAAGGTTATTGTTTTCATTGCGAATGCATATCACTGCTAAATGGTCGTTTAGGGCTTTAGAAGCCCTATTTCTCGTAGTTATCTATTTTTAAGAATCCCATGAAGTCTGATAATGGTATAATAATCTCTTTCAGCAAAAAATGCAAGGCGCAATTCAAGCAATCCGATCACGTGGAAATGTACTAAGGTCTGCTGTCCTTCAACATGTTCGTATTCTAAATCCAGCGATTCAACCGGCTATCTTTTCACGCTCAGATTCAGCAACTTCTGCTAAACTTGAAGAGCATGGTTTTGAAAGCACGAAAGTTTCAGACATTATGAAATCAAAAGGGAAAAGTGCTGATGGTTCTTGGTTATGGTGCACTACTGAAGATAGTGTTTATGATGCTGTGAAATCTGTATGTATTATTTTTCCTTTAGTATAAATATTGAATATATTTAACAAATAATGCTTGATTGAGCTTGAACTACTTCACTTTTGTTGATATTATCAGATGACTCAGCACAATGTTGGTGCTTTGGTGGTGGTAAAACCCGGAGAAGAGAAATCGATTGCGGGAATTATTACCGAGAGAGGTAGCAACAGTACAATTTTGACATATTTTCTGAGTGTGCTGGATGCTAGATTAGGTTCTATAGTGACATAAACTTTTTGATCAGCTTTTGTATATGACAACATATGATACTTAGTATGTTCTTTGTATAAATGCATGGCTTTTAAGGGGTTTAGGCAGCCCTGGTCCTGTTGAGCAGGTTTCCTACCTCTTATGCAATAATCCAACGGCATTGATGTAGAGTTCATATAAAGTAACCATAAGCATAATCAAATTTTTTTGACTAATTAAGTCCTTGACGCCCTTTTTGTCTCTTATAAGATTTATCACGATGTTATAGAGAAAACTAACAAAACACATCCTCTCAATTGTTTTTTGCACTGATGTACCAGTGCCTGCTTAAGTTATTAGTATGGTCAAAATCTTTTTTTTAATCAATTCATGTAAGGTCAAGTTCAGTACTCAAGGAAAAAATAATTCCATGATGTTATTAAACAGGTGCAGTTTTATCCTGTAATGCATGGTTATACATACATATGTACTCTTCATATTTGGTTAACCAATTTCTAATAGGCTAAATTGCACTATAATAACTTATGTTTCACTAATTTAGCATTTATTTACCCTCAGTTGGTTTTTGGAGCATTTATATACCTAAGTTGTTTAAAATTACCGTTTCTAGTACCATCTGTTATGCAAACATGAAAATTTTCATTCGAAAGCTCCTATAACATTAATATGCTAATTTTAGTACTTTCAACTATTGAATTTGCTGAACTTATTGTTAAATATATCTAAATTTTATTTTTCAAATAAAATCAAAATATGTTTAAATCAGAATTAGGGTTGGATTAACAGTAAATTTAACAAATATTAATGACTATAAAGCTCAAAAATTAACATGTGAATATTATATGGGAATTTTCGTGTGAAATTTTTTACTTTTGCATAACAGATGGTACTAAAGTGCTAATATTAAACAATTGAGGTATATAAATGCTCCGAAAAATAACTGAGCGTATAAGTGCTAAATGAGTGAAAGATAAGGTATTTTTGTGCAATTTAAATGCTTCTAATATTTTAAATGCTTCTTTTTTTTTTCCAATCTGGGACTTAGTTTTATGAACTGCCTCAGAACTGTATGCTGAGAATATTTTGATGATTATACACGTGTACACTAGTCAGCTAATTTGTTGATATTTATTAGATTAAACCTATGAGGACTAGGCTAAATACTACTCAATGACCTTTTTGTTCCTGAGGATTACCTTTACTATTAAGCAACTAATTATGTCTAGGCTTGATCTAAAACTTGTACATGCATGCACCGTCATGTAATTCGAGAAAACGAAGAAACATTTCAAGCAGTGTTTTGCGCTTTGTGAGGTACTCCAAGGCAAGTCGCCGCCCGGCAGATCAGGCAGGCGCCAGGTTTGCAAAGGCGAGCGCCTTGGATACTGTAGGAAGGAGGTGGGGTTTTTTCCCCTGCTCAGGGGAGGCGCTAAGGAGTTTGCCTGGGAAATAAATCAAGGGTTTCTTCAGCTCCCTCATAAAGTCAAACATTCCTTGAAAATGTACTCACTTTAGAACATTTCTTGGAAACACGTTAGTGCCTTGCCTGGGAAAGGGAAATGCCCGCCTCTGCTCCTACAAGGCCTTACATGCTTGCCCTTGCAAAGCTACTGCCTGGCTGATCTGCCTAAACGCCTTGACTGAGTGCCTCAGGCGCAGCCCGTGGCGGATCCATGATTTCTGGAAAGTTGTGTCACCATATAATTAGTAATTATAAAATTTTCACTTGTCTTAGCGAGTTGCCATGTTTTGGAATTGCTTTACTAGTAATACTAAGTACATAATTGCACTTTCATAACTCCTATCATAGGGTATGTATTTGAAAAACTTTGAACCCAACTTCTTCTCATCTCATTACATGAGGATAGTACTTAGGTCCCACCTATTTTAGATTTCTCTATGGAAATAAGTAGAGTATAACAATTGTTGTTCTCTAGTACGTATCGTGTAGCATTTCTACTTGATTACGTTAATTAGGACTTGAACAGGTGACGTTTGATGCTATAACAAGTGATGACTATACATACTATCACATGGGAAGAATAGTTTCCTTTGGATGAAGTTGTGTCATGTGACACCACTTCATCCAAGGTAGATCCGCCCCTGGGCGCAGCCGCTTTAAAACACTGAATTCAATCTAGGATAAATTACTTTGTAGGTATTTCTGCTAATATTATTGTTGCAATTTCAGATTATCTGAGGAAAATCATTGTACAAGGAAGATCATCCAAGTCAACCAAGGTTGGGGATATCATGACAGAGGAGGTATGTGCAAACTTTTGTGCTTTAGAATGTGCTCTGTGCAAATTATTATCATCATCATCATCATCATCATCATCTTATGTAGATTATTCATTTAATTAACATAACCTCGATGCTCACTGTCAGTAACTACTACGTAAAATAGCTTGCGTTTTGGTCCCTATGAAAAGTATGCTCATCTTGCAGGGACATGTTCGAATATAAGACTGCATGCCTCAATCTTCACCAAAAATTTGGAGTTTTGATATAATGCAAGACATTTCTAGACAATTTTTACTGACCATTCTAAATTCTCGCACACAGAACAAGCTGATCACTGTAACACCTGATACCAAAGTTCTCCAGGCTATGCAACTAATGACAGGTTTGCATATCATCTCTTTTCACACCATTTATTTGTTAAATTTCAAGAAACAGTCAATCTCTAATTGTTCAGTGATTGTTATTGGCAGATAATCGAATCAGGCACATACCTGTGATTGATAACAGGGGAATGATTGGCATGGTTTCAATTGGGGATGTTGTCAGCGCAGTGGTGAGGGAGCATCGTGAGGAGCTGAATCGGCTCAATGCTTTTATTCAGGGCGGTTACTAGACGATGATGATGATGAAAAGAAATAATAGAAGCTTGTTATCGAACAGCAAGAGTTTATAGCAGCTCTTGGATCAAGCAGGCATGTGTAAATATGTTACTTTTCTGAACTTTATCCTGTTTAATCACCCCAAAAAAAAAAAAAAAAGCTTGAAGACTGGTTAATAAGATACATTGTCATGACTAGATGTACTAACCCCAAAAAAAAAAAAAAAAGCTTGAAGACTGGTTAATAAGATACATTGTCATGACTAGATGTACTATCTTGGTTCACAAGACTTTTGTATGTGTTTTGAGTATTCAAGTTGTGCTTTCAGAAAAGCAATTTGTGGTCTTGTGTTGAATCATGAATCTATTTCTGTTTGCTGAAATGAGAGTGAGCTGTGTTTGTTCTCTTTGATTAACGGATAAGTTATGCACCGTTATAATGTACTAAAAGCTATAAGTTAACTTCATTAAAATTTAAAATATTATGATTCAAGAGTTTTGTATGTGTTCAGTATTCCTGGTGTGCTTTTAGCAAAAAACCAATTTATGGTATCTTGTTGAAATCCTTAATTTATTTTTGTCTGATGCAGTGAGGGTGTGTAAGGTACAATGCTATTTTACTTGATTGGAAGCTTACTAGAGATGCATGCTTAGTTGTCTTCTATTGCTATTTTAATTACTGAAAAGATGTACTTTTCTTTTATAATGGCTTTGTAGGACTTGGTTTACTAAAAATAAAATAAAACCAAGCAAATTAAGCATGTATTATGGCAGAAATGAACTGGAAATTTCCTGAAATAATATATTTGTGAATAAATTAATAGAGCCAATAGCCTGGCGAAATTGACTTCAACCCTTGATGATGATGAGAAATGGAAGTCAATGCTATTCAAAAAGGCTTTATGAGAGTCTTAATGAATGGAGGAATACCCGTTCAACAGTCAAAATGAAGTCATGAAGTCGAAGACATTGAATAGTTAAAGCAAGAGCCTCAAAGACTTGGTCAAAATAAGGAATGGGCAAATCACACTGTTGCATAGTTATGAAACAAATCACACTGGTCCATCTCATTATGGTTTTGACCTTGACCATGATCCGATATTTGACTGATTGCATAAGATCACGTGAAAATAATTCTGAAATTTAAAAATTTGTTTCTCCACAATATCACCAGAAGAGCAATTAGGAGCACATGTACAATAATTCAATAGTATGGAAAAAGAAAAACATGACAGTTAGCACAAAAGAGAATTATAGTCTGCAAGAGCCCAATCTGTTCCTTGAAGAACATACAGATGACATGATACAGTATAAGCGAACCTTTATAAATTCACAATATGACATCTGATGATAGACTAGTAACTTATATAGTGGCATCAAGCAAGCTGCAAATTTGCATGGAAATCAAGTGACACAATCTATCATCATAAGCCACAAATTTTAAAGGCTGTTTGTCCCCCACACAGAAAACATACGCACATGAGTATCCAAGAACATGTTAGCTAGGCATCAAGTGATACAAAACATACACACGAGTATCCAAGAAAACATTAGCTAGGCATCAAGTGTATCATCCCGCACGATAATGTGTATATAAATTATCCACAAATTCGCATACCCGTTGATCAAATAATCCTCTGTAAAATTCAGTGGGATAACTAATGAACAATATCAATCAGAGTACATGCCACAAATAACTTAATCCAAGAGTAGCAGCAAATTTTGAATTTAATCAAAACTGATACATAGAGCGCAACTATAACCCACAAATATTCTACGGCCTTTGTCCCCGAAACATAAAACATAAACACATCGGCATCCAAGAAAATGTTATAGGAATCAAGTGACATCTGCAAAAAAATGTCTTCATATACTCTCCACAAACTTGCATCTTTATTAATCAAATAATTCAAACCGTGCAATTCAATATAACATCCAATGAGCAAACATGTAGATGAAAGTCCATCCTGATGAAACTATACAAATGGGCATCAAAGAAAAATGTTTCAGGAATCCAGTGACGCTCTGCGAACAAAAACGTATATATTTCTACACAGATTTGCATCTTTTATTAATCAAATAATTCTATCTGTACATTTCAATATTTGCAACAAACGAACAACACATCAATCAGGAACAAGTCTATCCATCCTGATGAATCTATACCCAGACAAACTTATATACTACCTCCCCTGCAACCAAGCTTTTCTCAGTTGCTTATCTAAACTCTCACCGAAACATTTAGCTCTAACCAAGCAGAAATGGGTACAAAATCCTCCAACTGACCTCACTCTGCTAGTATTCAGAATGTAGCATGAAGCAGCACGATCCATGCCTCTCCCTTGAACTACTAAGCCCCATGTTTGGCTCTTGCCGTTGTTTCCGCTGTTGTTATCTTCTTCATCCTTGATTTCTTCGACCAGGATTAGCCCATCAGGTACTGAACTGTTTTGTGTCCAGTTCTTTTTCACGAGAGGCCAGGTATTTGGAGAGGCTTTCTCTTTTTGAAGTTTGAGGACTGAAGGACCTTGGGAGAATATTTGGACTAGTAATGGGGCT